GCCGTTGCCGAGATCGCGTGAATCCGTTTGATAGCTTCGCGGTCCTCCGGATCGCGAAGCTATCGGACGGATTTACATGGGGCATTGAAGAGCGAGAATTTTGACGTTGCGACGCCGGCTGCGATCGGAGGCACGCGCGTCGGGCCCCGAGTGGTCAACCGCGGCGTTTTGTTTGTAAACATTATTTATTCCTGGCGCGAGAGAGAAAGAGAGAGATAGAGCTCTCGCGAAGGAAGAACGGGGAAGAAAATAGGCGGAAGGGAGAGGCAGGAAACGGGGAGAGGTTCTCCGGCGGACGTGCGGATAGACGGACGGGATGGACGGATAGACGGATAGACGGACCACTGCCGCCGCTGCCTCCTCCTCCTCCTCCTCCACCCCGTATCGAACCGCACGCAACGCCGCCGGAAATCGCGTCGCGGTGAGGAGTGCGTACCTAGGATCCGGCAGAATGATCTTCTTGCTGGCACGGGCTGCCGGCGTGCACTTGCTCTTCTCCATGGCCATCAGGTAGCTGACATCGGCCAGCACCGCCTCGAGGTCCGCCATTTTCCTCGGTGCTCCTTTCGTCGGTGGGCTGTCGCGCGATGATCACCCCCCTTGGTCGTGGTCCCCGATCGCGGGGTCCTCCTAGTCTGGTTTCGTCTTCCTCCTCCCTCCCTCCCTCCCCCCTCGCCCTCCGGCACCAGCGGACCTAGCACACACGCAGCCGAGAGTCAGCAGCAGAGCTTCGGCTCTGCCACGGGCGGTGCTCCGCCGTCCGTTTCTCACTGCCGCATATTTTTAGCGTAAAGCCGACGGCGACGGTGACGACGGGGACGACGAGGGCGACGACGACGGCGACGGCGGGGATGGCATCCCGTGCGCGATCGAACGGACCGATACCCGCCTCTCTCGCAGGTCTCCCTCGCGCACGGCGGCGGCCCCCCTCAATTGACAGATCCGAGGAGACGGATGGACGGACGTCGATCGACGAGCGGCGATCGTGACGCGGCTGTGGCTTTGGCTGTGGCTGTGCGCGCAGCGCTGACTGCTGACTGAGACCTGAGACCTGAGACCGCGAGGTCTGTGAGACCAGTTGGACTGAGGACTGAGGACACTGAGGTTAGTGTCGTGGCAAGGACAACACGATGCTATCCTCGCGGAGGACAATGCTCTCTTTCTCTTTCTTCTCCCGTCTCGCCCTCTCTTGTCCTCGTCACGACACTCACGACGAGATTCGAGATTCCACTCTGTCCTGCTTTTTTTCCTCGAGCGGGATGCGCCGCGTTCCTCTCCCTCTCCTCCTCCTCCTCCTCCACCTCCTCGTCCGCCGCTTCCTCTCGTTTCACAGTGCCGCCTCTCGCACGTACGGGACTACGCGCCGCGACGAAGCAGCACAGCCGTCGGTCGCGCGAGCACTCATTTCACGCGGGGCGGCCGCGATGCCGTGCCTCTCGTCGCGATCGACGTCGCCCGTCGTACTACCGTCGAGCTCGACTTCAATTCAAGTTGTCGCGGTCGCACGCGCGCATTCACAGCATTCACTCGCCCCGCGTGAAGCAAGAGACCCACGAAAATCTCACACTCGCTCTGCGAACGGACGCGACGGAACGCTGCTGTGTTGCTGCACCGACAAGAGACGATGACAACTGATGACAACGACTCGCGTCAAGCGCAAACTTACAACTGTTCGGTGTTCGGCGCTCGCGCTCGCGCGGCGAGTGTCGCACTACGTACTACTTGCTCCGGCCTCCGGCTCCGGCTTTCCTAACTCCTAATTGGCTCGACTCCCTCTTCTCTTCCCCCTTACGAGTCGGTCGCGAATCATCGTCGGTAAAGCAACACTGTTTCTGTAATCCGACTTTGCCCTAGTCCAACTTTTGCGTCCTCGCTAAATTCGAGTGGTTGTCGATAAGGTAGTCATTCTGTAATCTTTTATATTAAATTGTTCTATGCTGCAGGTCGTGTTTCTTTAAAAATATTTGTTTACATATCGTACGCTCTAAACATTGTTTAGTAAACAGTCTAAACCCTGGCGGAAAAATGTGATATTAACCCTAGACAGACTCACTGGGGTCTACGGGACCCCACGCGAAATTCAAATGGAGTCCCTGCTTTAGGAAGGTTAGTTTTCATACCGAGACCCTAACCATAATTCAGTTTAGTCATCCGGCAATCGACCTCTGTGATTCAGCGAGTGCGTTAGATCCGTGCAGCAGCTGTGACCGAAAAAGAAAATCGTTTGGGGTCTCGTAGACCCCAGTGAGTCATTTACGCTTGACATTTACCACAGTAAAGTATATTTCAGATTTTTTGTAAAAATCGATAACAAAAAATTATACACTTTATAGCACTCCCCGGAAAATTCTACCCCTGTTTCATATATAATTGTTTAAAATTCGGTCAATTATTTCATTTTTGCTGTTCTTGCACAGCAACTGATTAAAACTTTGTAAAGTTTTTGTGGAGTTAATTTTACTGTTTCCATATACTTTTATAACTTTTGACTACCTTTCAAATAAATAATAATCGACAGAATCTGTTTTACTTTCCATTTCTTGCGATTTTTCCCATCCGATAGTTTTTCGTCATTTCCTCTACTTCAGACGTTCAAAGAAATATGTTTTTTTTAAGAAACGAAAAAGTCGTTTACATGCCCTTGAAGGTTGTCTATTCGTCTTTCAAAATCCGTTGGAAATTTTAAAATCGGTGAATTTTATGAAAAATTACAGCATTTTTAATAAAAATAGTCATTTCAGCCCAATTTTTGGTTCTTTTTCTTGTTTTTCGAAATTTTTTTATTGTTCCTTTTTTACTACCACAAATTGATGACTACTATCGTCTTCCCTATTAAACAACAAACAAAATTATCTATTACAAAGTTTTCTAAGAACATTCTGGAAATATTATACACGCGGTACAAGTTTGGGGTTTTTAAGACCCCAGTGAGTCATTCACGTATGAGAAAAATAAGTGAGTCTGTCTAGGGTTAATATGGAATTATTATTATTTATTGGTCTGATCTGTTAACTTCGTGGGATGCTAAAAATTGTGATATATCGGGAATTTATGTTTTGTTTGCAATTTTATTTTCAGTTACTGTTATTTGGTAACTAAAAATAAAATTGCAAACAAAACATTTTCCGATATATTTCTGACGAAATATGAATATTCGATGATTCATGGGATTACTCATTGTTTACATGACATATAGTTTACATTGCATACATATGTATAGATGTAGATTATTAAATTTTATGCGTAAAAACGCTCAACCTTGGTTGGATCTATTTCACGTTAAAAATATCCCTTCAACGTATTGGAATATTTTATCCTTGTAATATTCCAATATTATAAGATAAATGTACCAATGCCGAAACATTTAAAGCCCTATGTCTGGACACCTTTATCATTGTAGTCTTTAAATAAGTATAACGCGAATTAAAATCAAAGATAAAAGTATAAACACAATTAAGAATTTTTTAATTGACTACCGGCAACGATTATAATCGTCGTGACAGATCGTCATCGCGTTTCGACCAAGGATTCTGGTCGTTCTGAATTGAAGTAATTTTATATGCTTATATATAAGCATCTTAATTAAATATTACATTCGTTGCGGAAAATATTACCCCAGCCAGGGTTTAAAATATTACCCCAGTCACGATTATAATCATTTCTAATATATAGTCAATAAAAATTCTAAATTGTGTTTATTATTTTCTGGCAAAGTAAAAATTACTTATTCGGATAAAAGTATAATACAAGAAAAATATTTTTATCTTTGATTCTCTTTAATTTGAAGACTTAATTAATTCGCGTTATAACTTATTTAAGGACTAAAATGATAAAAATGTTCAGACATAGGTATATGTGTCCTGGCATTGGTACATTTATCTTAATATTATATTAATTATTGTTGAGATTTTTTAAATTAATAATGATATTTGTTGAAGATATAATAAATAGTGAAATATGTGTAATAAATGTTTATAAACATTCTTATCCAAACAATAAACATGCATTTTTATTTTAATACAATTTGCTGTCATTTACTTGTTCGAAATTCTATGTGCCTTTTCATACGTCCTGCTCGTAATGAGGAAATGGCTTTCATTTATACGGGCCAACGACACCGTTGTTGCTCATCGGAAAACGATGAGATCAATTTACGTAAATTTGATCGGATCGATTGCGTTCTTTGTTGTACCGTCATTCGGATTCCAAATCGTATTATGTAGATTGTGATGCTGAATGAACAATTGTATCGTATATAATTTAAAATCACTAAGCACCTAAAGGTTTTAAAATGACGTTAAAGCGGTAAAAAGTGAAACGAAAGTTAAACGAGATAGAACAATCGTAAAAAGTTAAAGGAGTAATTTAAAAATTAACTGTTGCGGAGCAATTTTAAAGTAAGAAAGTAGAAATTAGTATTGTTCTATGTATAATATTGCAATTGTAATTTAGATAATGCCGAACAAAGTAAGTAAGTCTCGTTCTTTATATATCTCATTTAGATTTGGATACCTTGCATAATTTATATTGAAGAATTTCAAATTTATATTTCTCTTCCGAGATCTTCTTCATAACTTTGAAGATATCACAAGCGCATAAACTGGAATATCGGGTAATGTTTATTACACTTATTTCGCAAGTCATTGCGAGAAATGTTATTTACGTAAGACCGTCATACCCGCAGGTTGATGCATTTACCTCTGAAAACGACAAATCGACGAAGATTTCACTTATGTGTAGTAATAAGACGTGTTAACATAACAGGTGATATAGGAATGAAAGTCAGACACACATGTTTTCAGTTAAAAGTGAGAGCGAAGGGATCTATATAGAAATGAGAACGTGAATCAGATTATTTCTCAATCCCAATATAAATAACATTTTGTTTGTAATTGCGTGTTTTATTTTAAATGTATTTACTTGTAAACAATTTTTTACAAAAATAGATTAATAAAAATGAATTGACAGCAATTTTTCTTGCGACATTAAATATGTATCTGACTTTTGAAATTGGATATTAATTTAATGTTTGATTTCTTCTCTACGAAAACAGGCAATTATGTGGATTCAGCAATTTTTCCTCTTCCCGATTTAGTTTCTCTCAAGTAATTTGTCCAAGTCAACATTAAAATTCGTTGTTACGATCTAGGATCTTGAGACATCCCAAAATATCCGAGCTATTTTGCTATTTTGCAACAGTCATTAACCTATGTTTTAAAAAAAATATCTACCGTAACGCGCCATTATCGAATAACGACATTCCGAGAAAGCAGCAATATGCAATTCCCTTATATTACATTGTTATTATATGTTCACGAAAGAGTCGCTTATTTTGCGAAGCGCGTTAGATATACCGTCTTGCTGTATCGATGTACATATATATGCCACTGGCTAACGAGCGTAAACGATGCCAGGTAGTTACGTAAAACGAAGGACACGGGTTTCGATGTTCGCCATCGATATAGGCTTCCAATGCTTGTTCAATTCTATTGGCTACACCGTGGGAAAACTCTGTTAACGCTGTAACAGCTAGAACATTTCGCGGCCGCACTAAAAAAAAAACAGCCTTGGGTAGCATCTTAAAATAATTTATTTGATCAGAAGCTTATAACCAAATCTTTTTCATATTTATTTCAAAACAGTCCTTTTTTTCCTTTAGATTTTATCTTTGTAAAAATGGATGCTGGTTGAATCAAAACTGGCAAACTGTATTTGCACTTTCTTTTGGACCGCCCTATACTTAATTATGCAAATGACCATCCATAAGTGAGCACTTCTGTAGCGATAACGATGCGACGACACGAAGGCCGAATTTGTGTCAACGGTGAGCGAACGTCGCACACTTGGGCGGCGCGGAACATCCCAGATAATCGTTTGCCGACCTCGCCATCGTTCTTTTTCCTTTTTTTTTTTTAACGACAATGCCGGTGAATGGATGGTCGCGCGGTGCCGGTATTTACCCAGCCGCATCCGATCGTTCGATCACACACAGGCAGGCGGATGGGAATGCCCCTCTGCTCTTCCTCGTCGTATCCGCCGTTGTGGCACGGTGCACGGTGCACGGCGGATCGCTTTTCATTTCGTTACGTGTCTGCCTCGCAGCCGCACGGTAAAGCCGGCGCAGGTCCCGGCGCCGATATCTCACTCTCCGCTCCGGCAGAACGAACGTAAGGACGGATGTCCATCGAGAGTGAATCGCGAGCGCAGCTCGATGAGAGAAGCGCGTGAGAAGCTGGAGCCGCGCAGGAGGTGCACCGATCTCTAATCCGGCCGGCGATGCACGTCCCAGCTAAGTGTGACGATCGCTACTAAAGAGAGTTCAATGACGGATCGGCGTTTGCACAACAGCGTGAGTGGACGCTTTCAAAGTACAAAGAGCAAGAGACTTGAGCTCACAATTTTTTTTTTAACGAGTGTCCGAGGCGAGTCTCCTCGAGATCGTGCGTTTGATCCTCTCTTTTACTCGAAGAATATAAACCTTAAGATATATGAATTTATTTATCTTGTCCCCCAACGTTTTATGCTGTTTACTTCTTGAATACCATCTTTTATTTAAACCATTCTTTGTAAACACTTTTCTTGGGGCTTTTTCTGTAGAATATAAGAATCATATCGTCACAAAAATACCCGGCTATATAATTGAGGTAAACCACTGGCTCATTCATATAAAATTCATATTTTACGATACTCTATAAAATTCTTTGTATTTTAAATAAAACGTAAAGTAAAATTGTAAAACGTAGACTCTCTTAAAAAAATTATTTTTTACTTGTGCTTTAAACTTATCAGTTGAATACGCGATTACGTGTCAATGCAAAAATAGCTTAATTATTATCTTCCGTTATTCTTCACTGTTTTAAATACGAATATTAAGTATGAGTCGTCATCGACATTGCAATCATATGCATTGCACATTCGGATGCATTAATGACGCGTGACTTCTTCAGAAGAATACTTAATCAATTAGCACTTAACATTTTTTTTTTAATATTTGCAAGCAAAAAGGAATTTTCTCTTTTTAAGAGAGCATTGGATTGTACAATTATATATAGAAAATTTTTTTACTGCGAGAGGTAGGTAAATGTATGTATGTACACGTAATATCTGTTTGTGTTCGATGGAATAAAGCTTTGCGGCAAGCAGATTACAGAAGGATTTATTTTATTGGATACGAGTTTCAACAGAGCTCGTGTTCAACAAAATAAATCCTGCTATAAGCCGCTATCGCGCGGATTATGTGTGCTTACGTAGTGTTAAGAGATAGCGAAGCCAAAAGCGCGCGAGGTAAAAATGGCACACATAAAACGTTAACGTTAGGAACTCGCTTGTGAGAAACGTTGCATTATTTTAAAACGTTGAAGTTAAAAGGGAGGGGTCCTTAAAGAAGAGAACCGCGCTAATCGCGGATGATCATGTTTAACTGCTTTTCCACTCGACAGCAAACCTATACGCGACCCAATGTGTCACGCGTGCCGATTTCAGTTTTTACACGTGATAGCGGCGTTACGTAACGACATTTGCACAGGTACATCAGTGGTGCGATTAGAAGCAGGAGATGCCGTTCCGGAGGTAGAACGATCTGGAAAAAATTCCTGAAAAAAAACCATCTGTCGCAATTTGGTCTTGTCCCGTAGTTTGTAGTGCAAACATACAAGATGACGACATTGCGTTTCGCCGGCATGATTTTCACCTACTGCCTTGTTTTAAGTACAGGTGAGGCTCAACGTGCGAGTAATACACTACGAAAAATACAGCTGTAGACATTATCACATCGTGAAGTGTGAAAAAAGAATTCTTTTTTTTTACAAAGTAAAAATATACGATTAATTAGAACAAATATTACAGACAAATATTATTTTAAACTGGGAAGTTTTTAAAAATAATTTAAATTAAAAATAGATTTTTTATTATTTTTAAAAAGGCACTTTTTTTTAGCGAAAACATTCAATTTTTAATTCGTCATCTTTTATTTCACGTATTTTTTAACTATAAGTTTGACTAATCGCAAGACGTGTTTAAACAATTGTCCGTCCGCGAGTTGCATTTACAATCGTGTTCTTTATCTAGCATCAGCGATAGCGCGTAGTGCATTGTGTAGGCATGACACAAGGCTATTTAACTGCAGCTCCATACTTAACAAAACGCGCATCTATGCCCTTCAGGTTGGTCTGAGAGTTGTCAGGATCAAGATACGGGATGGGAAAAGATCGTCGGGGCCAAGCCAGCAAACGCTATAGAGACTGTAATTTACAGAAACGGTGTTACAGAAACGTCCATAGGTAACAATGGTATCATCGCGCCTTGCTTTGACAGGTGATTCATCAATTAATTATATCTCCCTCTTAATTCCGTCAACTTTATAACTATATTCCAACAAATAAATTTCTCAGTTATTCCAGGAAGTCTGATATCATAAGGAAATAAAATCTTTAGATGAATTATGAATATTGTATTGCACATGGGTAATTCCACGTTAAATCGGATAAAAAATGAACTTGTTTGTAAATTGATCGCGAGCGCGTGAAACTTTTTTTATATGTATAAAATATATATAAGATAAAGAGATACGCATTTTTTTGCTCAAAATATTTTTTTCACAAAAGTTATAAGCAATACCATTTTTGTGAAAAATAAAGGAGTCAATTTTAAAAATTAATATCTCTATAGTTATATTTGTTATTGAGAAATCTTAAAAAATGTATTTTTAAAAACTAAAGAGATAATCTTTTTTATAAAAATAGTTTTACAAAAAATTGCAAATTTTAATTGGTATAAGAAATTGAAATGCTTAATTATTATTTTTTACCAAAAAATATACTTTTTTTTTATTTCATGGAGAAACGATGGATTCTACTTTTATGTATTTTTAACGACTGAGCCTTGCGCCATGATCGCGTCTCTGACTTGACCAAGTAGCGCGGCACATCGATTTCTTCAGAAATCTTTTGCAGGAAGAATGTACAGTATGAATGACATAATTTACAATGTTGAATATAATCAACATTATACAAGTCACATTTATAAATATTACATTTTATAAAAACAATAATTTAAAAAATTTAAGATTTTTCTACGGCAAATAATATAGAAATATTAATTTTTCTTAGTTGATAAATTTCTTTATTTTTCACGAAAATTGTATCGCAAAAAAGTATTTTAGACCAAAAAATATTTACCTCCTTATTTTGTACCTATATATATTTCATGTTAAAGAATTTTCGTGCGCGCGCACGATCGATTTAAAAAATACGAGGTCATTTCTTGTTCGACTTGACGTGGAATTGCCTACATATGTATTCGTAAATGCATTCAGTGAATTATACTCGCCTTGTGCGAAAATTAAGATTAATGCTTTGATATCATAACATCTTCATTAGGAAAATTAATATAAATTTAAAAAAAAAAAAAAAAGAGTATTGTTACGAGTATTGTTATAAGTATGATTCTCTATTGTGCAGAAAAGTATGTAGATTTACCGCTTAAAAATTTGTCCATAGGTGTAAAAGTCTGAATTGCACAGCTTTCGTAGTCGACTTCGCGAGGAACATCTGCTACAGTGTGCAAGTAAAAAGCGAGGAACTCATTCCCGAAACGAATGCCACACTGTTCCATCAGATCTGTATTACAGGTAAGAACTGTTCTTTCATGGTATATAAAGTATTACATTTTTATATAAAATATATAAAGTATTATATTTTTATATAAAATATAAATCAAGTTATATATTTGAATTCAATTATCTGATAGAAGGAAATCATCTGAAAAGCGTTGAAAAAAAATGTTAATAATTTATCTCATCCCTGAAGAAAACTTTTGGAAATGTTTTCGGAAATGCATCTTTTAAAGCTCTTTGCGTTTGCACTTTCAGTCCCACCGAGCTGCAAACAGCAGAGATTGTGGCAAGTAGAAAGAACCTTGGGAGCTATATTGAAAGAGGGGCAGTCCGGCTGGTTTCATCAAGCACTAAAGAGAAGCGAGTGTTACGAGAAGTGTTTGCAAGCAGGTATGCAAAGTAATCATATGAATTGTGCCATAGCTATCAAATAAATTGAAACTGTCAAGAAACTGCAACCTATATATGAACGATTGAAATAATCTCAGGAGACGAATGTGCGTCCGCGCAATACCGTACGGGCGAGCCTTTGTCAATCAACGATACCATTGGTACGTGTTCGTTGTCGAAGCTCGAAAGGGGTACCAGACCGCAAGCCTACAGATCGTCGATGTATCGAGATGAGTATCTACAGGATCAGTGCCATAATATAAGTAAGTCGCTAAACCGATCTGCCTTTTTGTAAATTGTAAGACCGAACTGCATGTGAATTGAATTTAATTTATACGTCCTGATATAGCGAAGAAGAGCTATTGTTCCTATGCAGAATTCCGGAACGTATCGTTGCCATATTCGGATGTGGCGTTGCCAGGACTTGACCTAAAGCAGGTATTCTATATATTTCCTGTCCGTTTTTTTTGGGCGAGCCGATTCACTCTGTTACTTGATCATGATTATTTTTTAGTGCGAGGAGAGATGTGACCGCAGTGTGGATGGTTTCATTTGCAGAGCCTACACTGTCGACTATTCGGAAGAAAAACCGCTCTGTCTCCTGCATTCCGATAGCACAATCGGTCTTGGAGTTAGTTCGCTGGTTACCAGACCTAACGTGGTCTACAAGGAACAAGAGCCTTGTCTAGATCGTATGTTTGCAATGTGGATAGTTGTATAAGTTTTGCCCATAAAACTACGGTTACATGATTCAAGGCACATGATTCAAAAAAGCATTAAAACAAAATATATAAATTTTACAAAAATTATTATTAGACATATATAAGATCCTACTCGCGGTGTGACCGGAAATGTCAATATTTATTTATTCTACACTATATACATATCAATCGCTGTTTACTTTATTACAGTCTACAAGTTTTATTGTCCAACATTTTTCATACTGAGGCACTACCTTGTTTCGCAGTGAAAGTGGAGTGCGGCGAATCAACCATGACAGTCATACTGACCACTCCGGAGCCCTTCGTAGGACGGATGTACGCGACTGGATACGGGGACATCACTACTTGCAGCATTAACGGTGTTGGGCACAACGTGACGATATTAAGATTGCCGCTGCCAAAGAAAGAGCAAATCGAGAAGCCCGGCATTGCGTGCGGCCTTACACCCGCGTTTTCCATCGACAATGAAAACCGGTACTTGGCCTCGAAACCATCTAATCGGCTCGATTAATTTTAGATCTTTGTTAAATGTAATGAAACAATAAATTACTGGTCGAATTAAAGGCCGATTTTATTAAGCCACCGGGTTTTATTCTTTGCAGAACGCACACGTTGGTCTGGGCCACTATTGTGATACAATACAATCCAATCATTCAGCGATTAGGAGATCAGTCGGTGAGAGTCGGATGCTCCTTAGACGATAGCGGCCTACCGGAACCGAGAAACGTGACCGTTCATTCGAATTTCTCTTTCGAGGATCCAAAGTAAGTCTAGCTTTTCTTCATATAGAATTGCGTACACATTTTTTCAAACGAGTGACATGTTCACTCTTTATAATTTAATTTGCCACCATTTGATGCAAAACTGTGACAAGCGTCCCCGATATTCCGGCTCTGGTTACTCTTTTTAGCGCAGGCGTACCGCCGGTTGGGTCAATTGTAGTGAACGTATCATCCGAGGTGCCAGTGATTACGATGAGAATTCTCAACGAAGACAATACGGACGCCGTCGTTACCCAATTGGGGCAGAAGCTAACGCTCAGAATTGAAATTCATCCCGTGAACGGTGAGTATCTTTTGTGCGGCATTTACATAGGATGTTCCCATACATTTTATGGTTTCTCTTTTATCACTGAATTTGATTCTATCGAAACTAGAATTTTCTTACCCGGTAAAAAAATTTTCATATAAAAACATATAAATATTATATAATTATATATGAAATATATAATTATTATGTCCATATATGTTTTTTTCTCTTGCATAATCTGTGTTTGTATATATCGTACATACAGGAAAAATAATAAAAAAAAACCTAAAAATAATTAAAAAAATTAAAAAAATTATTCTTGCATTGTATTTTTTATAAAAAGTGGAGTTTGAGGAAATGAGAAAAATTTGCCCATATATCGGCTGCGTTCGTCTTGACGCTTTCAGCGCTGAAAGCATCGCTCTATCTTCGTTTGATGTTCGATGTGCAACAAAGATAGAATGATGCTTACAGCGCTGAAAGCGTCAAAACGAACCCAGCCATAATCATATATAAATGTAACAGCTATTATATTAACTACTCTGTTATATTTATATATGATTATATATGGGAAAATTTTCTCGATTTCTCAAACTTCACTTTTTATAAAAAATACAATGCAAAAATGATCTTTTTAATTATTTTTAGATTCTTTTTGTTATTATTTTTCCTGTATATACGAACACAGATTATTACAAGAGAAAAATAACATGTATGGACATATTTATTCATATATAATTGTATATATTTATATATGTTTTTATATGAAAAACTTTTTACCGGGTAAGAATGTTAAAGTATTAATAATTTTTTAAGAAATTTTTAAAATGTAAAAAAAAACTTTACAAATTTAGTTTTAGCTGTGTATGAAATACATCTTTTATCTCGACTATACAAAAAAAGAATGATATAATTTCTTTGACAGGAACTTACGACATCGCAGCTGGACACCTAGTAGCTAGTAGTGCATCCGGAGAATCCTCGTATCTTCTTTTGGACGAGATTGGGTGTCCGACGGATCCGGCGACGTTTCCCGCGCTGTTGAAAGATCCAATCGATAACCGTTCTTTGATCTCAACATTTACTGCCTTCAAGTTTCCCGACAGTCAAATTGTCCGATTTAACGTCATCGTCAGATTTTGTATCGAGGAATGTGAACCGGTAAGTAGACTTAAAACTATTCTTTTTAATGCATTAACACATTGTTTTTATATGCGTTACGTAAAGTCGATCGTAATCAGCCGCGTATAAAAACAATGTGTTTAGGTTTTACGTTACTTCGCGTCCCGTCGCGTCCCGTTACGTTAAGTTCATCGTAATTCCGGCATAACACTTTAACATGATTTTTACATTGCTTAAGTCGTGATTGTATTATATAATATAATATTAGAAGATATTATAATTTTTTACATAAAGGAATATATTTTTTAAATAAGTAAATATTAATTTAGCACTTTGTATAAATTACAATTGTATTAATTAAAGAGCGAAAAAATTAGAAATTTATGATTTCTTTGAAGGCCACATGCAGAGGAGGACAGCTCTCGTACGGCAGGAAGCGACGGTCGATCGGGCCGGTCGAGGAGCCGGTCACCGCCGAGGTAACAGAAATTTTCAGAAACCTCACGCCCGCGGAATTACCGTTACAACTATCTATCGTCGTTCAAAGTCCAGTGATAACAGCGGGCCATTTATCCAGGGAAAATCCTGACACGCTGTTGATCACCGGCGGAAGTGAGTTTAATATATCGGTACCGCTACGTCCTCCAAGCGTCGGGAACTTCGATTTGCACTTCCGAATTCTATAGATATTTATTATAAATAATAAAATTACTGCAGAGTTAATGGAGCTATACGAGTCTTGTTTTATTTTCAGAATCTACGGACAGCCTTTTTTGCGTGGACGCGAGTCTAGCTCTAGGTCTACTGATCTTTTGGTTGATAATTCAGATTGTACTCACTGCCGGTTGCATCATAGCCGTTCGTCGCTACAGAAGAATGGCCGTAGAGGCCGAAGAGGACAGAGCTGAGATATTGGCGAGACACCTTTATGGCATTCACGGAGGAAACTTCGAAATTGCACGAAGGGTCAGGTGGGCCGACCGAAACGATTCCTCGATCGGATGACAGATTCTTTTTCCCCATTTTTCAAACGCAAGGATAACTTAGATATTATATAGATTTGTGTAAAAGGTTTTAAAGTTAAAAAAATGAAAAAAAATTGTTACACTTTTATATAAGTTTCAAGTCATAAAATTTTTAAGTAAAGTAATCAGTTACTTTTGACTTATTTATGTAATAATAGGAAATAGTTTTCGTTTTTTAAGAAATTCCAGTCATTTTATTGTAAACAAAAATTAAACTTTTAAAATAGAGATAAACTTTTTGCATTAAATGTAATACGTATATGAGATATATATGTCTATTAACGATTTATAAATATTATAAAATCTATTTATATAATTCGTTTAATGTTAGTAATTGTTAATTTTAATTTTATAACTATACAAAGTAAAAAGACCAAAGTGAAAATAAAGTCAACAAATTATTATTCTCGCTTAAAAAGCAAATAAATACACTTACATTGAATATATTATGTATACATATAGCGGTGTGTAAATATGTTTATTTTTCTTATACTTGCCAGTCTTTCATTAAAACATTTATTATCATGAATTGTATTGTGTAATGAAAATTGCAAGTTATCCAGTTCTGCCTGTTGAACAGCGTCCATAATGATTTAGTGTCACCTCTGTAAATATAAAATATTGTGTATTGAACATTTTAATGCGTTCACAATCGCACTGCCTTATACTGTAATTACATATGAGTTTTTTTTTTATCATTTTATATATTTTACAGGGCAAAGATCGTTAAATGTATAAATTTGCTATTGCAAAATCCATTAATGCTAGAACGACCGAAAGTATTTGGAAGAATGGTTTTCTTCCATCTCTTGTGTGATATAAAAGGAAAAGTTTTCTTATCTAATTTTAGCCTTTTTATTCATAATGCTTTACACATTAATATCAATTTGCTAAATAAATATAATTAAGGCAGACCGGGGCTGTTCGTGACACTGCTGAAATTTTGTCGCGGGCCTAACTTTAAAATGCTTGCTGCTAGAATCCTGTAATATCAATCACAGATGTCTCTTAGTATCCTCTAGTTACCAACGGAATGGCATTTGCGTGTCAACCACTTTTCTCTCTGACAGAAAGTCTGACTACGGGTGCTCAAAGTAAAATTTTTTAAATCCCGAAAATTTGTTTTCTCGCCGAATAAAATAATAAGAGATCCGAAACGGTAAATTGTATTCAGTCACTCGACTTCACTAAGCATAATGCATGAGTAGATTTTATGGTATTCTTTCTTATCTGTAAGTCAAACATTTATACGAAGCGAGAAAAAAATTTAAAACAAAAATGTGCCACGATAATAGCCCCGGTCTCCCCTAATATAATTTCAAGGGTTTAAGCAATAATAATAATAAAGATAAATTAAAAGAATTGATCAAAATAATTTATTTGTCTCGTTGAAAAATAATAAAACGATTAGCTCGACCGTTCTAGCGTTAAAGCAAAAAATTGATCTTGGAGATCATTGTTACTCTGATAAAATTAAGCTTGTTTTATATTGTTATCGCGCATATATCTTTCATATAGCAAAATAAATACACCTGTTAAATATAAAAAAGTTTTTATAAAATATATCACCTTTTCCACAGCGTTGCGCGCAACCCAATCCTCCTGGATTAGTGTAATCGACGTTGTCTGTACCACAAACAGGATTGTATTCGTGTGTTACCTATAATAGAAGTGTTAATAGAAAATAATGCATTATAGATTCAATATTAAAATTACTTTTCAGAAGCAAATGTCCAAAATTCAAAAGGTTCTCTCTCGATTGAAACGTTAGCTTTTTAATAAAATTTACGTTGATGATTTCAGTAAGAAAAGAATTATAATTACCGGGCAATTATCTAAGCATGCATTGTATATGTCATTATTAGTCAGAGTAGTAGACGTCACAATTGTCGGTGTGGATGTTGAAGGAATTCTTTGGCTTCCATTAGATTGCTCGGAAGCTACTGCACCATCAAAAACGAAGCCATCTGCTTGAACTGCATTATCCAAATTCTATGGAAATATATATATATATCGAATTAAACTTACAAATATTAGACTCTCAAAAATACTTTTTTCAAAAATACAGAAATATTACTTTTAACAAACACAAAAAGAATGTGAATGTGTGTGAAAAACTTTATGATATTGGTTTCAGAATATTAAAATAAACATTAAAATATAAACAAAGTGTATGCAAACTTCGTATTATAATATTTCTATTCATAGGACATGTAAAATAAAGAGATTATCTTTATATAAAGGAAATTCGAAATATTAAAGACTCAATGGACCCACGGACGTTATAATATGTCGGCGTCATTTATTGCGCTTAACATAACATACGATTATATTTCTTAACAACATATTCAACATATCCAAATGTCTCAAATTGTTTAAATATTTCTCAAATTCTCTCTTACAACAGATCGTACGAAAGGACATTTTACTTACTTGTGGAAATGCAGCAATGAGAAATGGTGGTACAGCAACTGTAAGAATTATTTAACACCATTGAGATAATACTAAAATCAGCTGATGTATGAGAATAATACTTCACGTCACGCGCAAAGTGTTTGAAATAGTTTTCTTACTCAGCGATAAATAAAATAACATTTTGCTAAAGTCTACTTGATATAAGAGATTGCCAAGTATCGACGTTGCGCGACGTCTTATACGCTCAAGATGATCTACAGAAGTTCGACTTCGACGAACTACTATTTGGCAGCCTTAGTTGCGGTTCTTTTTATAGAACCGGTTGCCAACCAGCGCTCCTATCTACAGTACGCGTAAGTATGAGCAAAGAGGGAATTTCCTAATATAAAATGACTTATTCATTGCATGCTAATTGCCAAATTTTTTGTAAAAATAAAAAAATATTAAAGCGAATTAAATATATAACATGACAATCTCTTCCACTAATTATACATTTCATATTCTGTATCACAAACAACGTTTATTTCTGATTTGTTTCAAACTGCGATACACGATACGAAAAAAATATATAATTATTGTTTCAATTTTTTAATTTTTTGTTTTATTTGTTTTCTTTAGGAAGAGTTTACCTCGTCAATCATCTGCAACAAATTTCTTGGTAACAAGCGAGGTAACAAATTTCATGCAAAATCCGTTAATTAAATCGATGTTTGCAAAACAACAGCAGACATGTAATACAACTTCTCATAAAATAAAAGCAAATTGACGTAAAATATCGCGCAAGATTTTCAACACCAAATAAACGGCATAACGATCGAGTAAGAATTAGGGACGGCACAATACAATTGTGGTAAATTGGCAGCAAATAGCGAGATAAAACTTGCTGTAATTATCTGCTTTTTAAAATAACTTTAAATACCTTTTTTACTTTGAAATATCTTTAAATAGTTTAAATAGGTAGCTTTTAAGTACCGTTGCTTAAATACTATTTGCTACCAATTTACCATTTATTTAACACCAATTAATTTTGCCGTACTATGTAATATATTTAAAATTTAAAGAACATTTACGCGATATTGTTATTCGAATTCTTTTTTTCTAACAAAAAGTTATGGAAATTGCAATATCAAAATATTAAATTAATTATAAAAAAAGTATAAAAGTTTATAAATAAATTAACTTAAAACTGTGCGAGAAAAAAAAAAAAAAAAAAACCACTTTCGCCGAGAATTCGTCATGACTTACTCAGGTCGTCGCATTCCTACGAATGAGCGTTTATTCGTCAGACTTATTCTTGCAAATCACATAAGAGAATGCTAATAGTAAGTATCCTATCAGCAAGATTATCTTCTCGAATACATCTTTTGGCAGCTACAATAGGATTGTGTTATTTATGTCGCAGTGTTTTAAAACTAAAAATCATTTAGAGTTGCGGCTGCTATCATGACATCCTTGGTGGAAAAATGTCTCAAAATTGTTCATATTATAAATAAAAATTTCTATAAAAATTATTAGACTCTCAGAATGCTCAGGATTTTTCAGATATTTTATACGAATTGGAATGTTTTTTTTTTTTTAGAAAAACTCAGACAAAATAAGAATAAAATATTTCAGATTTTTCCCGCCAACATATCTTTGTAGAAATCTGAATAAATATGAGAAAATCTGTGCAATTTATCAGAAATTTTCATACAGGATACTGAATATTCCGAAAATCCTAATTCAATTATTTCTGAAAGTATCTAAAAAAAATTATATATATATTTTTAGAAATTTTCATAAAACTTAATTCAAATACAAAATTTCTGAGAAATATGAGAAATTTCTTCACTACGAATCTGTGGACATTAATATAAATAATTGATAGCCGCGGTGATGTTAGAACACAACAAGTAATTATTTGTATTTGTATGGATTGTTAAATCTTAATTTAATATAATAACAGTAGAAATGTAATCTAGTATATTATGTAATATAATAGTATATTATGTAATATAATTAATTATATATATATACTGTATATATACAGTATAATTATAATAGATCGTAGTTTTTACATAAAGATTAGCAATAACAAATTAAAAATGCACATGTTTAAATGTAGTAATACATCGAACATTAATAACACATGGAGTTTGCGACATGTCGATGACCAGGAACTAGCTGATGATTGCGATCGCATATCAGGAATTTCCTTTAATGGACGTGTGCACGTCTGTAACATTCAAAGCGTGCCGGTTTTACTATATACGAAAAAGAGATAAAATAAAATAATGTTATACAATTTTATCAATATTAAAAAATTTATCTGTACCTATATATGGCAGGCCATGCAATATTCAATTACTGCTCTGCTGGATGTATGGTTCGCAAGCCCTGATCACTCTTATCTCGAGTCCTTATAAAATATTTAGTGTTATTAAGTAAGTGGCACAAAATCAGAAATTATAAATAATTTAATAATTAAATAAAACAGATAAAGAGAAATATTTTACAGAAAAATATTACCGAAAGACGTTAAATAAATTTAAATTTAATATAACAATAAAAAATAATGATACAATAATAAAACAATAAAGTAGAATTAATGGTACCTGGATTACAATTTCTCGCGCAATTAAATCTTCCCATATTCCAATAGGTAACGTTATCGGTGCCGCATACTGGGTTGTATTCGGCAGTCGCGACACACGGACAATTAGCTGCAGTGCTTTGCGTGGAGGTACTCGATGCGGTGATTCTCGGTGTGGTGCTACTCGCTTCATTATTATCGAATATTATAGAGTCATTGGCGATCCCGTCCGACGGGTCTCTTTGCGGGAATGCCAAGGCGACCAACCAAATCATGGTCAATACGTGCACAGCTATCGAGTAAAATGACGTGTCATGACGTGCGTACGCGCATTTTAACGAAAATTTGCAGACAAATCCAGAAACCTCGAAATTGGAACTATCAAATAAAGCGTCGAGGAAATATCTTTCCGTTTTCTTTTTCTTTAAATATTTCTTTAAATATTTAGACTAAGGGTGCGATCCCCCAGACGTTTCAAACGCCGCGCTTCAGAGCAGTATTTTGTCCTTGTTTAACATTTAATAAACAACAAGGATAAAATGTTTCCAAGAGCGTTGAAACGCTAAGTGGATCGCACTCTAAATATTTAGAAGACTTGACAAAATATAGAAAATAAATTACTCAAATTCAGATGTATCGGATGTTAAGTGAAATATTCTAAAAAGAGGGGGAAAGAAAAACCTCTGATATCTTATACATTTGGGAAAAAAAAGTCAATATCTATTTCGTTATATCGTACTCACGTGTAAAAATATATTTCATGATTGTATCCGTGCGAGTAATCCGATGTCAAGTTTAAGAAATGAGTAAAGACGCGAAATGGAAGCGACTTAAACGATCCTCGGAACAGCAACCAAATGACAGTCTTTAGCGAGCTGTTTTTCCACTTATATCGTTGTCTACTTTTATCTGTTTCCGACTTGTTTCCTTATATAGAAGAAAAAACCAGTAAGAGAGATGCGTTGCAACCGGCGGTCTCGGGGATATCCACATTGCGCACTTGTCACACTAGCGTTGACTTCATGCATATAATGATCGAGTCATTTACGGGACATTCCGTTTTTATCTCGCGTTCAAATTGTTATCGAAAAACAAGCTAGAATTTTTTATTTACTTTTGACCCTTAGTCAACTGGCTAACTTATATAATCGAATAATGTGCATGAAATTATCATTGCACTATCTTTTACTACAGCCGTTAAACTGCATATAATTGTGAATAATTTGGTCTTTAATTTGCTGTAAAAAAAAGTTGAGTTTCGCTCGTATTATAAGTTTGTTTCGTAAGAATAGCATAAAAAATAAAAAAGCAGCGTTCTCGGTATAAGTAAAAAATGTATGATCCTCTCTTTATCGTTATAAATATTTATATAACATCCAGACAAAAGCTAATAGCCTTGTACACGAGCATCATGAGCAAATCGTTTATCTCTTTTTCACGCATGCACACAGAGATATCGATTTCCTGCTCGTACTTCCTGCATCTGTAAGCGTGTTCTTTAAGAATCTGTAAAATACGTCAGCTCTTTTGAGCGTGACGTCAGAACCGAAGAAAGCTATGCTGCATTATCATACGAGATTATATCTACGTAAACAACTTTTCAAAAATGGAATCAATCTCGGTGAACTTTAGGTCGCATAGCGAAATAGAGTCGACATTGTCTGGATTAGTATATGCGCTTTTTTCATACCCGGGCAAAAGAATTTCAAATCGTTTTCTTAAAAAACGCAAACGGCTAATTGTGCATGTATGAAAAAGAGCGACAAACGATTATATCTACGCAAACAACTTTTCAAAAATGGAATTAATCTCGGTGAACTTTGGGTCGCATAGCGAAATAGAGTCGACATTGTCTGGATTATACGCTTTTCATACCTGGGCAAAAGAATTTCAAATCGTTTTCTTAAAAAACGCAAACGGCTAATTGTGCATGTATGAAAAAGAGCGATAAACGATTTGCTCATGATGCTCGTATAGTCGAGTTCCAAGACTGTTTAAAACGATAAATCTTGCATCCCTGCAGCTAAATTATACAGAATATTCTAGTGATATTGCAATAACATTGTAATTTCAGTTTTATCGCAAGAGTCTTACAACATTGTTGGAATGTTCTGTATTGCCTGAGATCCAATATAAATACTTTTGTTGTGACAAACTATGGATTTCATTTAATAAAATATATGATGTACAAGTACGTGAGTTGTAAGAATCATCTGCATATTCTCGCTTCTGACGTCACAAGTAAAGGTTGACAGACCTAGATTTTTAACGAAAGACGAATTGTCGTACTGTGGACATTGTATATACTATAAGTTTGTTTTAAGTTGTTACAATCGAATCTTGCAAAATAAAAGACAAGTTAAAACAAATTCTTGAAGTAAAATTAGGTGGTAATTATAATAAAATAGAAATTTGAAGTAAAATATACAAAATTCATCGTTAAAGGCGTATCTAGGTTTTTTGAGACATTCTTTTAAGACTATAGTTAGATGACATCGAAAGACAAAATAACTTATTGTCACCACCAAGTGCAAATTCTGTTTGTCCGCTCTTCCTTAATATTCCTGACGTCGCCGAGGTTTCTGATGGTGTTATACCAGATAACCTCTCCGCTTTAAACCAACATCTTATAAAACAGTTTATATTTCTTTTCTTATTCTTATTCTTATGCTAAATTCTCTTTGTCGGAAGTTTTTATATTGCAGCGTTAAATAAGGAAGCCTTATTAATATCTGCATCTGCAGATAATTAAATTTTGTGATATTTCCTGCGTAAATCGAGTACACGGAGATTGAGATACGAAACATATATATTATATAGAGCAAGTACAAATCAAAAACTTTCTTACTAGTTTTATTTCTTATTCTTTCATTGTTATGTACACATGTAATTGCCAGGGAAAATCCTATAATTATTCTTCTGCAGTTTGAAAAAATATTTCTGTTTTACTTTAAATTTAACTTACTTGAATTTCTTTTTTCGATTTCTAATTATATGGTACTAGCCTTATATTGCATTATAATAGTATTTTGTATATAAATTATAAATAGTATTGTAAATAAGAATGCCTAAATGCAAAAAAATTAAAATAAAAAAAAAATAAACTCTAAATTAATTAAATTTGTATTTATTAATTACATATTGTATTTATTAATTATATATAAACCAGTTCTTTAATATATAAACAAGTACAATATAGACAAATAAAACAAACGTTTCGGTCCTTCGCTTTGGACCATCTTCAGTGAAGAAAAAATGGAAAAAAATTACATGCAATCACGCCGTCGTCAAACAATCAAAGATCGCCATTCCAGCCATGCCGTCAGTTCCGCAGAGTCCGCATCGCCATAAATCCGTTGGTCGAGTACGTCGTCTCAATTCGTTAAAAGGCGGGACGATGCAATTTCCCGGGGCGACTGTTGTCTTAATTAAACAAAGAACTTTTACAAAATCTGACTAATCAATAAGGAATCAGAAGACAAACAGTATTACCTGACAGTCATCACGTGGAAATTAACGGACATCGTCGCCGAAACGCAACTTATCATTATATTGTTTTTAATATATCTATACATATTCCAATAATCACAGTTGTTCTAAAAAACATGGAGTTGTCCATTTTCAATAGCAGTTAAGTTCATCTTTTTCATAAGGAAGACAAAAATTAGATAAAATACAATAGAAATTGATAATATATAAGTGTTAAAATTAAGAAACCGATAATATCAGTTAAGTAATAGATGAAATTAACACTCTAACATTCTCATGTTGTATTATTTTCTAACTAATTTTTTGTTTTTCTTGTAAAAAAGGTAAAATTAATTTAGCTGTTTTGGAAAATAAAAACTTATATGGTCATAAAATAAGGGTAAACAATACAGTTGTTGGCCACTCTACAATGATTGGCCATATCTTAAAAAATTAAAGATTATAAAGAAATACTATTAAAATGTTTAAAAGTGTTTCTCTTAAAAGTGTATTGAATATTTTGTATTTATAATTAAATAATAGTTGTTTTATATTTCGGAGTATCGCGAAGGACTCGGAATAACCAGGCGGGTTTTTAGCTGAACAACAAGTACTTTAATTAACAGTCACCACGTCATATATAATAATATACAGTATAATATACAGAGAGTTCCTCCCTCCTCGGTCTGTTTACTCTCTTTCTTGAGAGTCACCCGAAGCATCAGAGGCGAAATTCTGCGGCTCATGTTCCAATTCTATATTCGTTTCTGAATTAACAACGTCGTAGTTTGTATTCCATTGCTTATCATGGTCGCAATCGCTATTTTTTTTTGTATTTCGTAATGTCTTTTCCTAAACCCCGCATTTGATTTATGTGGCGCTTCCAGATTTTTCCGTTGTCTAATTTAATTTCATAATGTAATGTGTACCTAATTTCTTTATCACACATTCGAAACGCCATTTTATATTTTTATCTAAGTATTCTCGCACCGCGACTCTCTCTCCCTTTTTAAAATATTTTGAAATATCTATTTTTGGCATATTTGGCACCTTTTTATTTGTTTCCGGAAACATTAAGTCCAATCTGCTTCTTAATTTCCTCCCCAACATTGCTTCAGCAGGAGATTTCCCAAGCTCTGCGTGAGGAGTCAATCTATAATGGAACAAGAACTTCTGCAGATTGATTTTAATGTTTCCGTTTGTTAGGTTTAATTTGCGTAACGCCTGCTTGAGTGTTTGTACAAATCGTTCTGCTAAACCGTTTGTTGCTGGATGATAAGGAGCAGTGCGCTTATAAAAAATACCGTTGCTTTTAACAAACTCTTGGAACTCTTTCAAAATAAATGTTCTACCATTATCTGTGACTAGGCTGCGGGGTAATCCAAAAGTGGTAAAAATTTCTCTACATTTATCTATCGTATTCTCCGCGGTTATATTTTTCATAAGATGCACTTCAGGCCATTTCGTGTATGCATCGACTAAAACTAAAAAGTTGTGTCCCAAAAATGGGCCAGCAAAATCTATGTGTATTCTTTTAAATGGTTGCGTTGCCGCTTCCCAATGATGTTCAATTTTACAACTCGGATTATTACTAAAAGTGCTACATGCATTACAGTTTTTTGTTATATTCTCGATTTCTTTATCCATGTTCGGCCACTAACAAAAATTTCGTCCTAATTGTTTCATTCGCACTGTACCAAAATGGCCGGAATGCAATTCTTGTAATACTTTATTTCTTAACACTTTTGGAATTACTACTCTATCTTTTCGGAAAATTATACCGTCTTGTAGCGCAAATTCCTGATTCTTATACCCTAATGCTTTTAAACTTTTCCCTTTTTCCAGCGCCGCTCGAATCTTAACTAATAACGCATCCTTATTTGTTTCGTTTTTTATATCTCTGGCCGTTACAGGCAATGCTTCCACATTCTCGATTTAAAAAATATCCACCATATCGTATTCACCACTACGCGTTTCTGATATAGGCAAGCGTGACAATCCGTCTGCCTTGCCGTGTTTTTCCGATTTTCGATCTTTAATATTAAAATTGAAAGCTTGTAGGAATTTTGCGTAGTGTTGCATACGTAACGCACTGTAGGCCGGAAGCCCCTTTTGTAGATTAAAAATTTGTGCCAAAGGCTTATGATCGGTTAACAGTATGAATCGATTTCTATATAAATATTGATGGAATTTTTTAATGCCGAATATAATCGCAAACGCTTCTTTATCAATTTGCGGGTATTTCTTTTAAGTTTCTGTAAAAGAGTTAGACGCATATTGTATCACGCGCTCCGTGCCGTCCGGACAAATATGAGAGAAAACGGCTCCTACTCCGTACGGACTAGCATCCGTGGCAAGTACATACAAGAGGCAGTTTCGGGTCAAACGGAACCAAAATTTTCTTATCTCTTGAATTCTTGCTTAACCTTATTAAAGAACGCTTCAATCTCTTGGTCAATCTTTTGACCAGATAAACTTACTATACCCTTCTTTAGTAATCTATTTAGCAGATATAATATTTCACTTAAGTTTTTAATGAATCGATCGTAATAGTTAATTAAACCGATAAAAGCTTTCAGTTCCGTGAGGTTCGTCGGTCTAGGCATTTTATTAACGGCTTCAATTTTCTTTGGGATCCTTAGAGATCCCGTTTTTGCCAAAAATATAACCGCAATATTCGATTTGATCTTTAAGAAAAACACACTTCTCTAAATTAATACGTATATTATGCTCGGCTAACCGTTGTAATACTAATTCTAAACGCTCTAAATGTTGCTTCAAATCTTTTCCGGCAATTCGAATATCGTCAAGGAACGTTACTACCCCCGGTATGCCTTTTAAAATGCTCTCTATCGTCCGCTGCCAAATCGCGGGTGCGGATGCTGTTCCGTACATTAAACGGGTACTTCTAAATAAGCCTTTATGCGTATTCAGTGTGAGTAATTCTCTATCGGAATCATCGATTGGCAATTGTAAGTATGCCTGTTTTAAATCAATTTTTGAAAATATCTTTCCACCAGCCATTGAAACGAATAAGTTTTCAGTAGTGGGCAAGGGATGCTCATTCACTACCAAAACCGGATTTAGTGTCACACTGAAATCGCCGCAAATTCTAATTCCACCGTCTTTCTTTAATATCGGTACAATTGGCGTGACCCATCTGGACGATTCTACTTTCTCAAGAATACCCGCGTCTACCATGCGTTCTTACTCTCTCTCTACTTTTTCTAAAATTTTGAACGGAACCGTACGGCTTTTCATGAATACCGGTTGAGCGTCCGGTTTCAATTTCAAGTGCGCTTTATAATTTTTAATGCACGCATATTCGTCACTCAGAACCTTACTGTATTTTTTTAAAAGTTTATCGAATCTTTTTTCATTTGACTCTTTCAACAATTTAATGTCTTCAATTTTTTTTAAGCTACTTTTAAGTTTCTTTAATACATTTAGCTGGTTTATCCACTCCCGGCCTAACAACGGGTCTCTATCATATTGCACAACATACATATTTAACTCTTTAATTTCGTCGACATCGCGAACTTTAACTCTAATGTACCCTAACGGCACAAAATTTTGCTTACAATAAAAGCGCAATTTTAAACGCATTTCGTGGCAAACCATATTCGGAAAATTATGTTTAAACCATTTTCTGCTTACCAAAGTAACTGCCGAACCGCAATCTACATCAAAACTCACTTTTCGATTTTCAACATACAGCGAAGCCGTGAATTTCCCTCTGTGCTCCGTGTGTTCTACTTCGTCCACGCGGCACACTTCTTCTAACATTCTAACATATTCGTCTGGTCTTTTTTTTGCATATTTTTTGTAGATGACCAAAACCTCCGCATTCTCTACATTTTACACTTCGAGGAAAGGGTACAACTGTGCGCATAACAAGCCTGTCCACACCTGAAACAAGAAATAATGTTATTTTTAGAATTTTGCCGCTTAAGTTTATAACCAGTATTATTTTTCGCTAATGTTAACTCCTTTCGATTACCTGGATTAGTGGATTTCGCCCTTCGTTGTTCTCCTCTAGAGAAGTGTGTTTTTTTCGGTCATTTCCTCGGTCTTTAGTTTTTTTTTAGTGCTTTGCTCCTGCCCCGACACGGCTGCTTCTGGGACTTCCTCCTTCAACTTGTTCACCCCCTTTTCCGCCAGCTCGATCACGCAAGCAATTTGCAGGGCTGAGTCGCTCGTCAAATTCGCCGTTTCCAGCAGCCTGGATTGGATTCTTTGGTTTCTCAAGCCAAAAACGAATTGATTCCGTAATTCCGTTTGAAGATAATCCCCGAATTTGCAATGAAGGGATAGTTCTTGCAGAGCGGCCATATATTCCTGCGTGCTCTCGTCCGGTTGTTGCATTCGCTTCCGGAAAATGTATATTTCGGCTATCTCAAGTGGCTCGGGCGCGTAAAATTCTTTTAGTTTGTCGACTAGTAACCCATAGGACTGTGCGTACGGGTCTCCAGGATACAAAAGGTCACACAAAATCCCGAAGGCTTCAACGCCTATAAAATGTAGAAGATACGCCGCTTTAGCTTTATCCTCCGTTATTTGAAAAACTCGAAACGCCCATTCCAGCCGTTGTAACCATCGCAATAATGGTTGCTGATTTGGCTCGAAGAAATCCATTCGAATTGGATTCGCGAACGTTACTCCGGGGCTAGGCGTATCCGGACGGTCTCTCGACATTCTTTCGGTTTTCGGTTCAATTACTTACTCGTAATTAATTTAGCCAGCTCACTTTCTCTCTCTCTTTCCGCTTTTACTCCAGACTAACGTCTTCTCCTTCGTCTCTCTTCCTGCCACGTGGCCTTCTCGAAACTTCCCGAACTCCCTTGACTTCCGGTTTGCGACGTGCCTCCGAATTTCTCCAAATTATCCTCGTCGCCACTGTTTTATATTTTGGAGTATCGCGAAGGACTCGGAATAATCAGGGGGGTTTTTAGCTGCACAACAATTACTTTAATTAAGTCCTTAATATACAGAGAGAGAGGCCGTGAGTTCTCGTGCTCTTAGCTAGGCACGTCCTATCCCTTGCCGGTTCCGAACGAGAGTTACTCGTCCCGCACGCACACGCGATCTCACGGTCCCGCAATCCACCTGCTACGGATCGTTAATTGCTTCCCGACAATAGACGCGAGGGGTGCATTCGGGGAGACGCTATTAACGCTATAAACGCAAACGCTATGAACTTCGTTCGAGGAGCCAATAGCGCGATAGCGATAGCAAGCTCCCCGAACGCGGCTTAAGCGCCAATAGCATTTCGTGCCTCACCTCGAAAATAATAGCGAAAATAGCGCGGATTGGCAAAAAAATCGGCACTTTTCAGCCGATTTTCAGCTGGCTCCGCCCAGCGCCTTCCCCTTACCTCGCCATCCCGCGCGCAGTTCACGAGTCGTTCAAGGGTCAAGAGCGTAAACATGTGTTTACAATAGCTTTCACGTCACTCGTGAGGTACTATTGTTGACGCGTTTTTTTTTTTTTAAGTGGTATCCCCTGTAGGCCTAATCCACTGACGACTGAAAGGACTCTAATTGAAGCAAAATTAAAGGAATTAAGAAAATTTAGGACGTCTTTCGGGATCTTTTACAGGCGAGAGCGGGAATAGGTATCTATTTCCATATTAGATGTTGCGAGCCGCATAAGACGCGGTAAAGATTCATCACTTAAAGAAGAACGCTTTTTATTTTTAATAAATTTTATTTTTGAAAAAGAAGTCTTACATAAATATATGGACTCAAACATGGAATAAATCCGAAGGCCGAAATTATAAAGCTTTGGGTATACTGATTTGTTTAAAATTTTGAAAAAATCAACACCGGTTTCTTTAATTGTTTTAAGGGATATATCACTATGCAAATCGCATAGTTCATCCTGCAAATCAAGATGTTGTTCTTCGATTGGCGCTGTAAGGGGATTCTCAAAAAGAATTAATTCGGTTCTAAGTTTTTCAAAACAACTAAAACGCGTATTGAATTCTTCTATGAGAGTATCTACGAAATGAATGTATTCCTTGAAATTAACAGTTACTGCCGTGTTCTTCGAGAAGAATCTGGCAAGGAAAAAAGTGAAAAATATTATCATTTTAAGTGAGATTTAAATAACTATAATTTTCTTCGGAAAGAATCGACATGACTAACTAATTGGGAAATATTCTGATTTGGTCTTTGCAGCTTTAAATTGAGAAGCCTAAGTTGATTTATAGTCATGTCAGTAATAAAGGTAAGTTCACAGAAAAATGTGACATCTTGCAAAACGGCTATATGTATCTGAAATTTTGAATTGTTAATTTCTTGCAAGAAAAGGAGGATCTCTTTTCTTATGGCAAAAAATATTTCCAAACATTTTGCAGCACTAAGCCAACGTACTGGACAATAAAGTGGGACATTTGTGTGAACAGAATTATGTTCCTGGAGAAATAACTGAAATTTTCGATGACTAAGGAACTTCTGTCCACCTTTAATTATATTAATTATTTTTGTCATAGTCTCCATATAACTGTTGACAGTTTTACAACTTTGCCGCTTAGTGCTTCCTGATGAATTATACAATGTATAACGGGGATATTAAAATTTCGCTGCTTTAATTGACCAGCGAATCCTATCTTTGAACCGGTCATAGCTCTCGCGCCATCAGTAGTACTTAATCGAAGAACATTTATTAAAATCTACTTCAAATTTTTTAAGCAATTCTTCAACTGCTAAAAAAATATCAAGACCCGTTGTTGTGCTATGTAAAGGGACGAAATCTAAAAGCTCCTCGACACACGAGAAATCGTCTTGCACGATTCGAATAAAAATACTCAGTTGACTCGTGTGTCGAATATCGGTGCTCTCGTCAAGACATAAAGCATAATATGTACATGACGTTAGAAGATTCTTTAATTTTTTTTCTTACAGAATTACTGATATCAGTAATTCTTGAAGATATTGTTTTTGCA